ACCTCACATTTTAAAACTTCACGACTCACTTGAATATGTCACCCTACGTTTTAAAACTTCACGACTCACTTGAATATGTCACCCTACATTTTAAAACTTCACGAATCACTTGAACACCTCACCCCACGTTTTAAAACTTCAACAGTGTTGATCTCTTTCATCAAACAAATAAACCTAACTTAACTATGACTTTTATTTAGGATTTTTTTTGGTCGTTAAAACGTGAATTTCTATGAAAAAGAAATGACTTGATTCGCTACTCTCCCAGAAGTAGACTAGTTTCGCCAAATTCAAGGTTCATCAATGCTGCTTGGAAGATCAAAGCAAATAAATAAAAAAAGGCCTCATATACTGGCAGAATTAGGAATTTATTTGTTTTTAATGTGAAATAATATTAACTATAACTTAGTTAGTTTACAGACGCTTAAACAAGGGGCATTAAACATTTCTGTTTTTGCTTTGTATTCAAATTAATATAGGCGTTCCATACATCATTATAGGATCTATTCATATTGACCCATTAGTCATTTACTAAATCTGTCCACAGATCCATTTCAGGTTTTTATTTCTCTGCCTTTTTTATCTATCTACTTATTATTCTATCTATATCTTTCACCCTAATATTTCGAGACTTTAACGTCGTTAAGAACTTCAAGTAGCATTAAAAATTACTAAATATCCGATGTTTGAAAATGGACTTGAAAACAACTATAAACTAGACCATTAACTAGACCATTTTAATCGTATCACATATATTCTACAATCAGATTATTAATATGCAAATGGCATTCAATTAACGTTTGGCAGAGGAAAATGAAAAAATATCTTGAATTTTTTCTTTTTTTACATTTTTAATTTCAACTTTTTACTTTGATATATTAAAATTAAAGATATACTAAAATGTTATATGTCTTTAATACTTAATGCTGTTATAGATCTCTTTATAATATGTTCAGAAGAGTTTGCTGACAAAGTTAACTGGTTTCAGAAAAGTCAGAGCTCGAACGGATATGGTCCTTACATAGATTACAGAAGAGAGTTTTCAAAAAGGCACCCTGGAATTTCGAGCCGACCATCTTACTATTTGGGCGACACCAGTTTCCATGGTAATCGACATCAGGCGGATTATTCTAACTCCTACATTGAGAGCTCCCATCCAGACCTTCTCCTTCCGCAAAGAACCCACCTTCGAGACAGAATTTACAGCCCAATATTTTCTCCCAAACTCTACATCACTGCTCCTCCTAGTCACGCTGGCTTTAGAACAGACTCCATAGCAACGAACGTGTGATGACCCTGACGAGTAGAGATATGATACCATATTGCAGTCTTCGAGTGAAGCCTAAAGACCGAAATATTTCGTTGTACCAAAACCAATATAAAGCTTTGTGGTGATGGAGATGCTGCTTCTACGAATAACTCACTATTAAAATAAATGGAGCTTATGACTTATAATATACAGTAGTAAAACTGCTTACAGTTTTCAGCTAACTCTAATTATTCTGAAGTTTTTTAACTAGAAATTCCATTGAAGTTATTGACATAAAACTAATTACCAATTTTCCAAAGTACGTTTCATAATAGGTATTATTCTTTGTCAAGACATGGCTATTCTTTAACCAGGTTTCAACGTAGACTTGGCACCAATATTGTGAGAATACACTACCTAATTTCGTTCGAGGTTTAAACATTAACTTTGAAAGATTATACCTGTTAATCTTCTTTAATTGGTCAATAGACTTAATAAGACCGATACTGTTAACATTACTAGCAATACAGCTCAACATTTCCACTTAACGGGAAGCAGTCCAAACAAATCATACTGTTAGGGAATCAAACATAATCTTAATAATTACTAGGCTTAAAGAAGCAGCACACTGATTGTTTTCTGAACTTAACGTTACGCCAGTTTTAAACATTGATGGTATCTTGAAATAGCGGTCATTCCACACAAATGACAGATATTAGTATTCTCAGAACGTTTTGTTGGAGTTTACATGATTATTGTCTGTAATGCGTTTCAGTAAAGCTTTCGAACGTCTTCCTTTGGTGGATTATTAAATAATGATTTGACTAAATATAAAATTAGTATTGTTACATAACTCGTTGAGTGAAAGATGGTTTGTTAACTTAGACATTGAACCTCATAAGACTGTGACGTTTCGATAGTACTTTATTGTTAACAATGTTGATAAAATGTGAATATTAAATTATTTTCAAAAACAGAAAACGTGTAACTATTTCTGAGTTCCAGCTAGTGGTTCTTCGTCGTGCTTCTAGTAAAAAATCTTAATTATTGACTGCTTCGTATTTAAACTTTGTGCTTCCGTTTACTATGCTGTATTTCCTCTTTTAACGTGTTTTATGTTAAAATGTGTATCTACAAGTGTGGTTAGAAACAAAACTGACTTCTATAGATCAATCTAAGTTTGAAATAGTGTGTGGTTTCTATTAATGAATACCAGTTACTGGTATCAGTGAACCTGAAACAAGGAACAAGCATTAACAGCCCAAATGGATCCGAAACATCCGTTTGCAGGACTTCTATAACTACCAGTCATTGGTATCAGTGAATCTGAAACAAGGAACAAGCATTAACAGCCCCAAATGGATCCGAAACATCCGTTTGCAGGACTTCTATAACTACCAGTCATTGTTATCAGTGGATCTGAAACAAGGAACAAGCATTAACAGCCCAAATGGATCCGTAACATCCGTTTGCAGGACTTCTATAACTACCAGTCATTGGTATCAGTGGATCTGAAACAAGGAACAAGCATTAACAGCCCCAAATGGACCCGAAACATCCGTTTGCAGGACTACTAGGCATTTCGTTTCCCTTTTATGATGAGTGATGACTGCTCAAGTCAGACAGTCGAGTGTTTGTGTAGACACTGAACAAATACATCTAAGCCTAAAAATACCGTTAACTCTTTTTGTTGTGTATTTACTATACAGCCATCAAATGTAAAGTTAATAAAATCTATGAAATATTTCACCTGCTTCTTTATTTCTTTTAAGCAAATTATCTAATGGTGTCTATTGTCAACTTGTTATTATTTACTTTAATAATCTATAATTCGAGCATAGACAAAGTATTAAAGAAAATAAATTAACTGTAAACAAAAGAATATTCTGAACTAGCTGATTCTTCGTGGTAAGAAAAGTGTTAACTTAGAAAATTCTGATAATCTTGCAGACAGTAACTGGCACTCCTGCTTATGCTCTGAATTACTCTCGAAGAGAATCTACTTGTTAAAAGAGAGAGAAAAAAACGTATGAAGAAATACAATTCTCTTTGAGGATTTCTATGCCATTTTTTTTCGAGAGGTGATGTAATCCAATTAGTGCACTTTTAAGCATTTGAGCTTCCGGTTTCAGATGTAAAGAGTATCCAAATATTCTAGACCCAACCGAAAAACGTCACGAAACAGGGTTTTCAGATGATTATCCTACTTTGTCTAGTTGGCGCACGTCCGAGGAAACATAGTCATTACGTTAGCCATAGTTATATATATAAATCAGGCCTAGTTTTCTGTAACAATTCGTACATAAATAGGATTTTAATTGATAATGTAGGAAAAGACTTTTGAAAAAAAGTAAACTGTGTTATATATATATATATAATAAATTTATATTATTTTTCTCGTTACAACAAAAACATTTCTTTAAATATTAATTACAAAAGCTCATACATTTAAACTTTAATCTTTGTAGTTCGTAATTCGAAAAGGTAATTTGGCAGGAATGGTGATATTTCTAATTACATCGAGGGTGTAAAATCATATGTACATATATATGATGGCATGCACACTGAGCCTCACTATGTTATCAAGATGTTTCTCAAATTGGCCCGGCATGGCCAGGTGGTTAGGGTGCTCGACTCGTAATCTGCGGGTCGCGGGTTCGAATCCCCCTCCCACCAAACATGCTCGCCCTTTCAGCCGTAGGGGCGTTATAATGTGACAGTCAATCCACTATTCGTTGGTAAAAAAATAGCCCAAGAGTTGGCGGTGGGTGGTGATGACTAGCTG